GATCCCAGGACCCTGGGATCATGACCTGAGCCGAAGGCAGGCGCTTAACGACTGAGCCACCCAGGCACCCCCATTGTTATCTATTTTAGAACAACCCTTTCTCCACCCACCATTTGTGGAACATATATTTTGAAAATACCTATAATCTCCTTAATTAGATTCTACCCATGGAAAATGAAGAAACCTACTTCCAATTAAGAACCTACTGAGTATGACAGTGTTCTTCTGGACATGGTTTACACTAGGATATCTTCTAAATGAGTTTTCCTAGTTAAGTAGCTAATAGACATTCAACTTTACATGCTAGGCTCATAGCACTTTCGTACTCATATGGATATTGTAGTTGTTTAACCTCTAAAAACCAAAAGAAAGGAAAGAGACAGCATAAATGTGCCATTTATCTAAATTTTCATACTCTGAAATTTGTATTTGGCCTGTAGAAGAGTTCAACATTAATTTCAGTTTTTGTAATACATATATCACCTTGGTATATAAGGCAGTATGGCTTTGTAGGTGGTACATGCTAACAAGGCTTATGGTTTGAAATACTAGTATAGGAGAAATGCCCTTATGTGCTTGGGAAGGAAAATATTGATGCTGTGTGACATTTGATTTTAATTCTTTGCTAACTTAGCTTTAAGTCTTGTTTTCTTTACATTTATTTTAGCTAATATTTGCTAAATTATACTGCGACTGCCAGTGTTCAACCCAGTGCCAGCAGGTAAGACTTCAGATTCTTGATTGTAGAATTCATCTCAGAGTTCATTTTCTTCTTCTTTCCTTAGAGGAGTAAAGGATGTGCTAAAGAAAAGGCTGAAAAACTATTACAAGAAGCAGAAGCTCATGTTGAAAGAGGGCAGTTGTGCTGACAGTTACTACGACTACATTTGTGTCATTGATTTCGAAGCCACTTGTGAAGAGGGTAACCCACCTGAATTTATACATGAGATAATTGAATTTCCTGTGGTTTTACTGAATACCCATACCTTAGAAATAGTAAGTGAATTGTTGTATTTCAATTTTATTTTTAGCAGCAACTATTCTGGTGTTCTCAGTAGACCAGGGATCTCATTTGCTGTTTTAAAGCTAGAATGAGAACTCTAAAGTGGGCTGTTTTCTCTTGTGTACTTTGTATCAGCTTGATTAATAGAAAAGCTGTAATGAAATAATTTCAGAGGCTACTTCTCTCCTTTTCCAATAGCTAAAATTAGAGGGTTTTGGTTTTTGGTTTTTTGTTTTTTTTTTCTGTTTGCTTGGAACACATATCTGGCTGGACATCAGAATCTCCTAGGGAGGGTGGAAAAATGCCTGGCCCACATCCCAGAGATTCTGATTTAGTTGTTCTGTGGTGGAGCCCCTGACATCAGCATGTTTTTAAAGCTTCTCAGTTGACATGCAGTTGGGGGTTGAGAACCACTGCTGTAGACTACTATATGTTGTGATCTCTCAAAATGGCAAATTACAGAAATCGCCTTTCAGCTTAGAACTGGCCATCTTTCTGGCGAAAAGTTTAGTGCGGAAATGACACTCCTAACCTTGGCTTCGAGACCTATAATGTATAAGCTTTAGATACTTGCTGTCACTGCATCATTAGTTTAGGAACTCAGCAGGAATTCTCCAAATAGTACTGTTTGCCTTGTAAAATCTGAGCAAGGGTATATCAACATCTCATCTATCCAGAAGTTACTTCTGTGCTATCCTCAGTTGCTGCCAACACATTGGGAGCAAGTATAAAAAGCCTTGTGTATTAAAATGCATAGATTTTTTTCTTAGTGTTGTTCAGAGCCTCTTAGTTATAATCACACTATTTATATAATTTCTTTGTCCAAAGAAGATTATAGTCAGTAAATTAAAAGGAAAAATGACAGCTATGAAGGTAATAATCTTGCATAACTCACTAGATTCTACTTTCTCTTTCTTATTCAAGGACATTGCTCTAGCAATTCTTTTCCCTTGTTGAGACAGTAATGATTTACTGCTTTCACTGTGTTGTTCCCATCACATACAGACATGTTACTTTTCATACATAAAAAGCTTTCACTCTGTCCCACTTCCCCGCCAACTACCCTATTTGTTTGTTCTTTGAAAAAGGTACATACTGCTGTTTCCTCGAATTCTCTCTTAAATTCACACCGTCTGCAATCCCATCACTCCACTAAAATCACTCATTAGTGTCATCTTGGACCTTTACCTAAATCCTGGTATAAAAGACCACTCTCTCCTTGAAACATTTTTTGCAAGTGACTATCAGTACACCTCATTCTCTCGATTTGTCTCCATCGTCATTGGGTTCCCCTTTATAATTTCCTTTGCTGGTTCCTTTTCTTCACAACTCTTAATCCTGGATGCCCCAGGATTCAGTCCTAGGTCCTCTTCTCTATATAGATCTCTTAATCTCATCTACTTCCAAGCTTTTAGAAACTGTATGCTAATGACTTCCAAATCTATATTTCCAACCTGGACCTCTGTACCAAATCCAGTCTGCTTATTCAACGTCTCTACTTGGATATTTAAACAGACCTCTTAACATGTCCCAAACTGAATTTATCCTCAACCCATTGTATGTTCAGTCTTCCCTAGCTTGAGTGATGGCAACTCTGTCTTTCTAATTACTCAGTTCAAAACCTTGGAGTCATCCTTGACTCCTGTTTCTCTCCTATCATATATCCAGACCAACAGCAACTCCTGTTTGCTCTGCCTTCAGAATACATCCAGAACCCAGCCACTTACTTGCAGTGCTACGACTCTAGTCTGAGCCCCCATAATTTCTTGTCTGGATTTACTGCATTCACCATTAACTGGTCTCTGTTTCCTTCCTTGTCTCCTACAGCCAATTCTCAACATAGTGGTCAGAGTGAGCCTTATAAAATATAAGTCAAATCATTTTCCTTCTCTGCTTAAAACCCTTTAGTGGTTCCCCATTTAACTCAGTAAAATTCCTTAACATGAGCTAGCCTCTTATTACCTCTGATTATGCCCTATTGACCTGCTTGCTGTTTCTTAGAAATGCCAGGCATGTTCTACCCCCTCACCTTCCAGGGCTTTAGTTCTAATTCCTTTCCTCCAGAGGTCTTGCTGCTAATTCCTCCCTCCCTCTCTTCCTTCCAGGCCTTCCTTAGTTCTCATCTTCTGCATAAAGGTGATGACCTATTTACTATGGTAGCTGAGTCCCCCCCCATTTTTCTGATCCCACTTACCTGGTCTACTTAAATGTTTACTAACCCTTATCACCTGTTAGCTTACTATGTAATTTACTTAAGTGATTACTAAGTATTTGGTCAACAAGTGCATAGTTGTTCTCTATAGCATCATTCTGATAAACGTGTTAAATAGTGAATAAAGTTTTATTAATAGTATGTTTGGTATTACCTGCCTGTATTGGTAAGGGAAGTTGCAGCTTATTTTTGAAAGATTTTCGGGGTGCCTGGGTGTCTCAGTCGTTAAGCGTCTGCCTTCGGCTCAGGTCATGATCTCAGGGTCCTGGGATCGAGCCCTGCATCGGGCTCCCTTCTCGCCGGGAAACCTGCTTCTCCCTCTCCCACTCACCCTGCTTCTGTTCCTGCTCTCGCTGTCTCTCTCTCTCTGTCAAATAAATAAAATCTTAAAAAAAAAGAGAAAGATTTTCATTGAAAATTATAAAAATATTGATACTTAAAAAGATAAAGCCTTCATTTATCTGTGGAAATTCAATTTAGTGGAATTTTTCCTTCTTCAGTGTGTCTGGTAAGTAAAGAGCATCTAACTTTTGAAGTTCAAACATTCTTTGCTGTTCTTTTAATTTTGCTCTTTTATAATAGTAACCTTTATAACTCATTGGCTTCATACACTAGTGTGAAGAAAGAATTTATTCTTAGGAAATGAAACATTTACCTTTCTTAATTTTTGAATCTTCTGTCACAAAAAATATTCTTTGTCTTTTTCTCTGTATCTACCTGGTATTAATGATTGCTGACTTTAGGCTTTGAAATTGTCCTTAAGTTTTAACAAGTGACTTAGCATGTTCTAGTTTAGGGAGGCATTATTAGGATAGAGGAAAAAGCACTTTGAGATCTGAGGTTTGATGATAACAGTTGTCGTGATTATGAGAAGGCAAGTGTGAAAGCTTCTTGAAGAGGTTAAAATTGCTACCAAAATATAGTATTATCTCCCTTTAAACTACTGCATGTAGTTGATGTAGTTCAGTTTTGACTGTTCAGAATTCAGTTTACTGGAATCAGTATAAAAATAAGGACTAGTCAAGAGTAAATGAGAGAGTAGTAATCTAGAGCTAGTTTATTATAACCAAAGATTGGCATTTCTTCAAAGAATTTATTATTATTTAAAAAGCTGTTAGTAACTTGAAGTTGAGGTTGCATTATTAAGCTTTATGTTTCAAATATTACAAACAAAATTATCAACATTTTGCTCCTCAAGAAAATAACCTTTGGTTTGAAGGCTTGCTTTCAGATACTTGCTTTATCTTAAAAAAATTTTTTTTGAGATTTATTTACTTATTTTAGAGAGAGAGAGTGCACGCCTGTGTGCACACGCAAGTGGCGGGGCGGGGGGGGGGGCAAAGGGAGAGAATCTCCAACAGGCTCCATGTTCAACGCGGAGCCCGACGGGGGCTCAATCCCATGACCCATGAAATCATGACCTGAGTCAAAATCACGAGTCAGTTGCTTAACAACTGAGCCACCCAGGCACCCCATCTTAAAATTTTTTTTTTTGAAGATATATTTATTTATTAGAGAGCATGAGTCAGGGGAAGGACAGAGGGAGAGAATCTCAAGCCAACTCCCCACTGAGTGGGGAGTCCACTTGGGGCTGGATCTCATGACCCATGAGATCACAACCTGAGCTGAAACCAAGAGTTGGACGCTTGACTGGCTGAGCCAGCCAGGTGCCACTCTTTAAAATTTTTTAAACTATGAAACATAATTAAAATTAGAGTGCTTTGGGAGTGGAGAATTATCTTTAAATTGTTAAAATTCTAGAAAGGGCTATACCATGAGCACCTATAAAATTAAAGTCTCCTGTGGCTTAATGTTGTATGTATTTTGTGTCCTAATATCTGAAGTCATAGAAAATACTTTAACTTGCTCTCTTTCACTTGTAGGAAGATACGTTCCAGCAGTATGTGAGACCAGAGATTAACACACAACTTTCTGATTTCTGCATCAACCTAACTGGAATTACTCAGGTTCTAAATCTATATTCCTTCTTCTGGAGTTTGAAAGAGGTTCTGAAATTAGGTTTTATTTCATAGTTTAAAAAATTATTATTGTAAACAAGTTAATGTACTTTACTTGGTAAAGATTTTTCATATTATAATATTAAAAAAGTAGAAAAGCAGATTTTATACCTGGTAAAATCTTTCTCAGCCTTTCCTCTTAAGGACTCGTAATGATGAAACCAAAGGTTTAATTTGTTTAGATCATTAGTAAAGTAAGTGTTACCATGGTGGACTTAGAGGAAGATTGAAATGTATCTGTTTATAACCTGACTTGAACATAGCTTAATGTTTTTTTAGGTCTCTGATTTTTTATTGTATTCTAATTGCTTTTTGTTCATTAATTTGGTTCCTTTATTCATTTACTCATTCACTCAACGAGTATTTGAGTGCCTGCTACAGTATTTGCCAGGGTACTGGGGATACAGAGATGGTCAAGTCAATCTCCTCAGCTCACTCAACAACTTATAATCAGGAGGACAGACAGACTAAACCGGTAGTGACAGTATGGTTAGGAAGACTGACAAGTCAGTGTCTTATCTGGGTGTTATGGGCATCTTACGACGAGAGAATGGAGAGCTGGCCAGTGTCAGACTTCTTCAAGTTAGTGAACTTGGGCTGAATCATGATAGGTCAATAGGAAGGAAAGAATGGGCATTTCAGGTGTGCACAGCAGAACTGTAAGTAGCTTGGGACAGTTCAAGTGTGTATGGGCTGGTAAGAAAGTGGTTGAAAATAAAGCTAAAGTGGTAGGCGGAGGGAGGCCACATCATGAAGAGCCTGTGTGTCTTATCCTGAAAGCCTTGGGGAATGTTTGGAGGATTTTAAGTGTGGAAGTGATGTGATGGATCAATTTAGGAAGATCAGTCTGGCAGTGGTGTGTCGTCTGTTGTGGAAAGATCTGAGCTTTGAGATAGGGAGACCACATTAGAGGGCCATGGCTTTCAGCTGGGAGGAGAGTTCCCTCTTCTCCACTCTGGATAAATAGTAAGCCACTGGGTTGAGGTCTTAAAAAAAAAACAAAAACACTGGGGATGATCATAAATCTTAATTTTGAGAGGATTATATACTTCAGTTGAAAGTGTCCATAATGCCTGGTTATGAACAATTTTTAATTATCTTAAAAATGAAATGTTAGGTGGATCTCAGCTAAGGAAATCATGTAGAGTTTAAAATATCATAGATGAGACTTTCTCTTACTGTTCGTTTCCTTTTGACTTTTGTGTCTGGGTATTTGCAGGACTACATGTAGCTACTCTTATTTTTATAAATTTTACTTTTATATCCTCAGGATCAGGTAGACAGAGCTGATACCTTCCCTCAGGTACTAAAAAAAGTAATTGACTGGATGAAATTGAAGGAATTAGGAACAAAGTATAAATATTGCATATTGACAGATGGGTGAGTATTTCGGAAAATTATCTTTTTTATCTACTTTTTTAAGATGAAAGATGTTCATATCCATTTAACTTTTAGAATAACCACAAAAAAGTATTTTCTGATAGTTCTGGGGTCTCCTATAAGAGACCATATTTTTCCTTTCACATTCTTATTTCTACTTAAACTTGTTTTGTTTTGTTCTACTTAAGCTTTGCATCTTAAGGATCAAAAAATAAGGAGGGAAAGAATGATAATACTTTAATCCAGAATTAGAGAACTAGGGAAAGATAAATATTAATATGTAAAACTAAAATGACTTTACTAAAGTCAGTTTTTATTGTGAAACTTCCTTGCTCAAAGAAATCCAGACTCTTCAGTCTGGATTTCAAGGTTCTCTTATCTAACCCATCCCACCTGTGTAGCCTGATCCACCTGCCATTCTTGTCCACTCTGTGCATGTTGGCCATGAATCACATGGTGTGTTCTTTCTTTGTGCACAGAGTCATGCTCTCCTCTCTACTGGAAGGCTCTCTTCCTTTACTGCTTCATTATTACTATTCAAAGCCTTCTTTTGTTTTACTCCACATACTACAACTCACACTGATCTTTTTTTTTTTTTGACGTCTCATAGTCTTTATATATGTACCATTTGTGCTGCCATCTGACTATTTTGATATCTAAACTTTATTTATGTAAGATTTGTTTGCAGGGAGATTAAAAGTCCTTTCAAAGTAAGGACTTCTGCTACTTGATCATTTTCCCTAATGCTTCCGGTAGTCTGAACTCAGAATGTGTGCTCAAAAGCATTCGTTAGATGGAAAGCTTAGAGGGAAGATCAGAAGGATTGAAACAAGGATTATAGGCCTTGTGCCAAGGCAGCTCCTATACCCTAATGCTATTAAGATTGAAGAAGGAAGTCTCCTAATCAACTTCTCTTTCAAACTAGGAACAGATTGTACACTAAAACTGAGATGTCACTTACATAAAGGGTTTAGTGACCCTTACATAGGAAAAAAGCATTGAGTGTAGTCACGTTATAATTTAAAAATAGAAATTTGGGAAAATGTTGGTGGACCTCTTTAGAAATCTGTTGATTTTAAACATGAATGAGCAATGTTCTTGCTCAAGTATATAGGTGTTTCTGTCCTAACACAGTATGTGTGATTCTGTAAAAACCTCACGTTCTGGGACATAGCTCATACCTCCAGAAAGTTTGGACAGCTCAGGCAGGCAGCTCAGAGTTAGTGGAAGTTGCCTCAGAGGCAGTAGGATCCTGGGGACAGGCACTCGTTTTTAATTTTTTTTAAAAATACACCTGAAAGTACTCCTACTGGCACTACAGCTGAATTGAGAGCTTTTTTCCTTTCCTGCTGAAGGTTATAATTTGTGTGGCTGTTGTATCACTCCCTTCCCTGGGGAAAACCGTGTATGAACCAACATGATTTCCATACTATACAATCAGTATTTTCCTACTTAACTACATAAGTTGATCAGTGTTGTAGAAACATATGCTGTAACAGAACAAATTGTATTCAAATTCACCACCTACTACCAACTACTTTCATCTTTCAAATATTTTGTTCATTTGTTTTTTATTTCGTTTCTAAGCATACCCTCAAAGAACTTCCTAATAAAATAAACCTGGCATTAAAAGTAAGCTTAGCAGAGTTATTTTAGGATTATGAAAAAATAATTAACAAGATAGAGGTCTGCCCCAAGTAATCAGAACCATGAAAGTGATCATGATTAGCCTAGTAAGATTTGTTTATGAAAAAAATTCGATAGGGGCGCCTGGGTGGCTCAGTTGGTTAAGCGACTGCCTTCAGCTCAGGTCATGATCCCAGGGTCCTGGGATCGAGTCCCGCACTGGGCTCCCTGCTCTGTGGAGAGCCTGCTTCTCCCTCTACCTCTCTCTCTGTCTCTCATGAATAAATAAAATCTTTAAAAAAAAATAAAAACATCTGTGTCTCCTACATGTGGATATCATACAATCAAAGAAAAGTATGGGACACTGTGATATTTCTTGATCATTCCAGGCACATTCTCAGCTCAGGCCTCTTGTTACTTGTTCTGCCTGAAATTCTCTTACCCGATATCCTCACAGTTCACTCCGTCACTCCTCACCTTCTTCAGGTCTTTGCTCAAATAGTACATCATCAGAGAAACCTCCCATAACCACTCTATTTAAAATTGCAACCACCTCCTGCCCCCCACCCCAAGGACACCCCCCATTCCACTTACCTGCTTAATTTTTCTCCATAGTGTAAACATTGTACTCATTTCTTTTGTTTATTGTCTAATTCCACTTCTTGAATGTAAACTCCACTAGGGCAAAGAGTTTTTGTTATTTTGTTCAATGCTCATTCCCAGCATATAAAAGGTTCTCAATAAATATTTGTTGAATAAATGAACGGTTATTGTATCCTATTCCCATACATACAGGCAATTTTTTTAAGGTATAAGCACCTAATTTGCAATGTAGATAAATTATTACTCCTTGATGGTGAATCTTCTTTACTTAACAGTTGACAGGGATATACCAAAAAGTTCAAGTGGAACAGTTAACTAGTGCTTATTAATGTTAATGTAATGTGGATCCTGACATGTGTTTACTGGATCATTTTCTTCTCCTTTGAGAGAAAAAGCATTTTCTAGGTGACAGAGAGATGGGATTAGTAATTTTCATCAATTTCTGCAGTTGTGTGTCAGGACTCAAAGTCATAATCTAAAGAGAAAATGACTAAATCTGGCAAAAAGAGAGTATTGGTTCAGTTGTATCTTAGAAATCTTTATAGTTTCTGAGTCTATAAACCTCAGCTTGTAAACACAAAGGTAAATCTATAGTTATGAGGGAAAACATACAGTCCACTATGGAGGAAGCCGGTGATATCAGAAGTAAAACATTTGTGGTAGACTTCCAATTGTGTCCCTTTCTCTGTTAGGGAATTTTGTCTTCACCCAAGGCCATGTGACTTGAAATGATCCTGTACTTTAACTATTTTTATAATAATGCTTAATAACAAACCACCCCAGTGGCTTACAAAAAGCATTTATTTTTCTTCCTCACAGGTCTGCAAGTCAGCTGGGATGACTACTTCAGGATGTGGCTTTCCTGGCTTGTCAGAAAAAGTTTGGTTGGTTTTGTTTTTGCACTTTAAAGTTACCATTTCATTACTTTTGGTTTGCAGTTTCTAATGAGAAGTTTATAAAAATTCTTATTATGCTCTATGCCTTTTTCCCTCTAGCTGCTTTTAAGTATTTTCTCTTTATTACTCTTTTTACCAGTGTGATTATGATGTGGCCTGGTGTATTCTTTATATTTATCAGCACCTGGCTCTAAGGGGTAGTCCCAAAGAGACCAGGTCAGGCCACTCACCACTGACAAAATCCAAAGGCAGAGAAACTAGTGGTGGTAAAACAAGAAGGAAATTTATTTCAGTGAGGCCAACACTGGGAAGATAGTGGACTAGCATCTCAAAGATGCTTCAAAGTGCTGAAAATACTTCTAGGTTTATGTAGGGAAAATGTGGGACAAAGGTGGGTGAGTATACACAGGTGGGCAATGAAAGTCAAGTCAACCGTAGTCTTCGGGTCAATCATGGGTGGGGTCTTGCTGGCTCAAGGCAGTCCTTATTGCTTGAGGGGGTAGTTTCAGTTCCCACCAGGGAATAATTTGCCCTTAGGGTTTTCTGCCAAAGTTAAGAGATAAGCAGGAAAGAAGAACTTAATGAGAAAGTTTGAGGTCAAAATGGAGGCAGCTGAAGTCCTCTTCCAAAAAAAATTTTTTTTTTATATTGTCCCAAAGGTCACAGAAGCTTAAAATTTCAGATAATATAATTTTCATCTCCAGAAATTCTATTTGCTTTAAAGAAAAAATCTCTTTCCTCTCCCATCATTTTCCCCCTTTAAATCATTGAGCATATTGAGTACATTTAGAGTAGATGCTTAAAGTCTTTGCCTGTTAATGCCACCATTTGTGTCATCTCTGAATATGTCTCTGTTGCCTGTCTGATCTATTTTGATATATTTTCCTACTTACTTGGCATGTCTATTAATTTTTAACTGGTGGATGCCTGGTATTTTCAACTTAATGTTGTTGAGTCCTGAGTTTTGTTGTAGTCTCTTGTTCTGGTAGGCAGTCAGGTGAGTTACTGAACAGTTCGATCCTTTGGGGGCTTTAAGGTCTTGAAGGGTCTACAACAGCTTTTACTCTAGACTCCAGAGTCTAAGGCTAGTTTACCTCACAACTAAGGCATGACTCTTCTGGGGTCTCTATAGCATATTCCGCATATTCAACAGTTTCTCCACTCTGGCTGTGGGGAACTCAAACGAGTCCTAGTCCTGTGTGAGCTTTGAGAATTGCTTGGCTCACTGCTCCTCATAATTGCTCCTTCTGGGCCTTGTGGAATTTCACATGACCTATCCACGGATTTTTATTCAGCTAAAGATTCAAGGGTATTCCTACGTAGATCCTGAAGCTCTTTCTCCATGAACTCCAACTCATAAATTCCGACCAGCTTGGCCTCCCCAAATTCCCTAAACTCCAAGCCATGTCTTTTCAACTCAGTAAGACCTCTGTCTTCCTAGTGAAACTCTAGGTCTCTTTCGGAGTTCCCCTTCCCTGCACCTCAAACTGGAAAGTGACTTTGGGCAGAAAGCCATATAAGGCTCATCTTGTTTGCTTGTTCTCTTTCAGGCCCAACAGTCCAGAATTGCCTGTAGCCCAATGTCTGAAAACAGCTGTCTTCACGTATTTTGCTTAGTTTTTAGTAAGTCCAGTCCCATTTTCTTTCCTCCAGAAGCAGACGTTAAACTCCTCATGGAAAATGTAAACTGTTTTACAGATGTTATTCGTCACGGTTGAAGTTCACCTCTCTCCACGGTACGCCTCGTTTTTCTCCTTAGAAAATATGGTGATGAGATCGTGTGCTCTGGTGGTATCTTCCGGTGACGAGGCTAGACTCTTGCGTAATGGCAACAGGACGCTCGCGCGCTCACCGCGCGGAGACGCCAACACCCATATTCTCCCGCGCGCGCCTTCCTCACCTCCTTCCTCCCTCCCGGGTCGCCAGATGCGATAGCGTTCCGCCCGCGCCCGCTCACTGCGCCTGCGCGGCGTGTGGACGCCACACGCTCCCGGAAGTGGGAGGTGTCCGCTCGAGTTTGTGTGGCCGCCGCCGCGGGAACGCGAGCCCGGTAATTTTTCAACGGAGAAAGGCGAGGCTTTCGGTCCTGGCCGAGTGAGAGTGAGCGAGGGTCGGGCTCCAGCAACTGTCTTCTTACGTAACAGCCGGCATGGAGCATGAGCGGAGCAAACAGCCTGGCAGCGAGGCCGTGGCTCCCGCGCGGCTGGAGTCTCCCAGGTCGGAGTGTGGGGAGGAGCCGCAGCATCCGAATCCCGAGGTGAGTCCGCCCGCGCCCGGCCGTCGGTGCCCAGCCCTTCCAGACCTGTCTCTTAGGGTGTTCCGCACAAACCTCAGCCTGCGTGCCCTTCGACCCCAGCCCCGGCCGCTTCCCCTGTCGCCAGCTCCGGTGCCTTGGTTGTCAACGCAGCCCCCTCTCGCCCTAATTACCCTCTGGATGTGAGGAAATAGTCAAGAAGAGAAGTGTGTGAACTGTGGTTTTACAAGTTCTGGTGGGAATTCTGCTCCAGATATTCTGTGCACACTGTTGCTGTAGTCATTCTGTCTAGCCCTTATAGGTGATTGGTAGGTTATGTTTTAAAAAGAGCACCATTATGCTCTAGGTATGTCATTTCTTAAGACCCGAAGCCCATTACCTCCCAGCCTTAACAGAAGGTGGTTGTGCCTATTAGTTGGAGCTTTTTGCCCATTTGCTACTATTTCATACAGACCTATCGTATGACTTATTTTCCGTAATGATTTTGACACCTATTGGTAGATCCGAGTTACAGAGCAAAATTGTGAAGACGGTCTTAAAACTTATTTATTCATTTTATTTGACAGATATAAATTATTATTGCCTAGCAATGCAGATTGTAAATAATACTAAAACTGATCATTTCATTTCAGTAACGTATTCTGAGCACTTCATAGAATGGGTACCTTGCTCTTGTTCTTGCATCTACAGTTAGGGCTCCACATAGCAGCTAGAATAATCTTAATAACATAAATCTGACCGGGTTTCTCCCCTTCCTAGTCTTCAGTTTGCCGTCCTGCAGGACCTGGCTCCTGCCTCCATTGCTGAATTCACCGTACACTATTCTTCCCTTTTGCTCTCAGAGCCCCTGGCTTCATTATTTTTTATGGTGGATGGTTTTTCTTTTTAAGGCATTATAAATTTAAAGTATTATTGAAAGCTAGTTATTTCCTTAGCTTTAGTCAAAGATCAGCGTAATAAACTTTTTAAAACATTTGTCAACAAGGAGCTTTAATACAGTTACTCTTCAGTTTATGGACAGTTCACACATTGGGATTGCTGATCTCTTCCTCTGAGGAGATAGGAGTAATTCTTGAGTACTCTAGCACAATACCTAGCATTGCATTTCTAGTAAATGTGTGTTGTATTAAATTGAGCTTTGAATGAGAAACAGTTCCTGAACCATTAGGATTAGTGTAAAGTCAGGGTCTTTGGTCTGTCCATGGTTATTCCTTCTTAATCTGTCATTAAAGTTCACATGGGGACAGTGTGGTAAATTATGACTTAAGTTAACAAATTTTAATGTGGATTGATGGTAAGTTCCAAAGTCTTTTTGAAAATTCTGGAATGGGGCGCCTGGGTGGCTCAGTCGTTAAGCGTCTGCACTTCGGCTCAGGTCATGATTGCAGGGTCCTGGGATTGGGCCCTGCATCAGGCTCCCTGCTCGGCGGGAAACCTGCTTCTCCCTCTCCCACTCCCCATGCTTGTGTTCCCTCTCTCGCTGTCTCTCTCTCTGTCAAATAAATAAATAAATAAATCTTAAAAAGAAAAGAAAATTCTGGAACATACCTAATGTTTGTGACATTGCATTTGGAAAATAATTAACTTATAAATGGAACTCTGATATTTAGCATATTAATAATTTTGGACTACCTGTGGACTGATTACAGTTGAGTCATGTTTTTTCTCAACATAGATTTTAAGGAAAGAATAAAGATTTATAATACAGTAACTGTAGTTCTTCTGAATAATTGTTACAAATGTGAGTTTTAGAAATTGTGTGTTTTAAAACTGAATACATTTCTTCCTTTGCTTTGGGTTCTAGGAAGTTTTGAACTAGATTTCTATCTAGTCCATTTTGTTTTTGTATTGGGCAATTTCTGTTAACTTAGTGAAATGAAGTCAGGTTAAAAAATTCTCAGGGGACACCTATGTGGCTCAGTCGGTCAAGTGTCCTACTCTTGATTTTGGCTCAGGTCGTGATCTCATGGTCATGGGATCAAGCCCCAAGTCAGGCTCTGTGCTCTGCGGGGACTTTGCCTGAGATTCTCTCTCTTTCTACCCCTACCCTTCTCACACATGCTTGTGATTTCTCTCTCTCTCTCAAATAAAATCTTTAAAAAAAAAAATTCTCAGGAAGTCACTGACTTTTACATGCATAATGTTGTAAAAGTTCATTTAAAAATGAGTTTGTAAATTTTAGAATGTCATTTGTGAAAAGGTCGGTTCTATAGTCTATGATGGTAATAAAGATCCCATTAATTGCCACAGTGTAGGTATGGTGTTGGGAGCTGATACACATAATCTCATTTAATCCTTAAAATAACCTGTTTATTTAAAAAAACTTTTTTTAAGATTTTATTTATTATAGAGAAAGAGAGCTTGAGTGGGCAGGGGTGGGGCAGAGTGAGAGGGACAAGCAGACTCCCCACTGAGCAGGGAGCAGGACACAGGGCTGCATCCCAGGACCCTGAGATCATGACCTGAGCTGAAGCCAGATGCTTAGCCAACTGAGCCACGCAGGCACCCCTATAATAACCTTGTTTAAATACTATTTACCATTACCAAATACTAAATGCCACTTGGAACAGTTATTATTCTTTATTTTATAGATAAGGAAACTGAAGATCAGAGGCATTAATAAGTAACTATCCAAGGTCATGCTGCTAGTAAATGGTCAGCAGGGGCTCTGTTTTGAAGTGCTCCCAACACCAGTACAATTTTTACTTAGCTTCATTTCCTTTAAGAAATTTCATGACTCAGAACAGCAGGGTAAATTATATTGGAAACACGTCTTTCTTCTTTCTATGTACTTTTCACTGAACATGTAGCATGAGTAGGCCTCAGGAGTTTGAATCTTTAAGATGTTTGTATTAATTATAAGCTATATCTTTTTTTGGTAGAAAAAGCAACGATGTAGATTCGATGGCCAAGAAACAAAAGGATCTAAGTTCATTACCTCCAGTGCAAGTGATTTCAGTGACCCAGTTTACAAAGAGATTGCTATTACAAACGGATGCATTAATAGAATGAGTAAGGAAGAACTCAGAGCTAAACTTTCAGAATTCAAGCTTGAAACCAGGTAAATAAAAATAACTTTTTAAAAATTTAAAAGTAGTACACGTTCATCCCAGAAAGTCTTGAAAACACTGAAAAATTAACAGTCATCTGTAATCCTACCATATACTCAGATAAAAGCTATAATTTACATTCTTAAAGTGAATATGTGCAACTCTGATTATTTCTGAGAGTCTCTTAGATGATAGACTAAGATTGCTGAGTTGAAGTCTGAATATTTTGACAATCTACCAACAATGTATAGGAGCAGCTATCTTATACTAAATATGTTTTAAATTTTTTTAGTTGATCATTTAGTTGATGCTTAATTATATCTTGTTAATGAGATTGGAGATATATATATATATTATTCTGTCTGTGTTATTTTTATAAAGAGGGTTTCTTTGAAACCAGGTAATTTAAAAAAATCACCTACCAGGAAATATTTTTTTCTGTTTTAGTTTCTAAAGGTATGCAGAATGATAGTATGTGTTATGTTTAACTGTATATTGAATGAGAAAACAATGCAGCTTAGGCAACTCTGTGTGTGTGTGTGTCTGTCTTCAATGAGATGTATACATACTCAGTTTTTAGTAATTTTTTGCAAAACAAATCACTTTATTTCGACTTGGGGCATGGGGTAAGAATGACCTTTGGAATCCAGAAAAGCATGCATATTTTTTTTTTCAAAGATTTTATTTATTTATTTGAGAGAGAGAATGAGAGAGAGAGAGAGAGCATGAGAAGGGGGAGGGTCAGAGGGAGAAGCAGAACCCCCGCTGAGCAGGGAGCCCGATGCGGGACTCGATCCCAGGACTCCAGGATCATGACCTGAGCCGAAGGCAGTGGCTTAACTAACTGAGCCACCCAGGTGCCCCAAGCATGCATATTTTTTTTTTTTTAATAAAAAAAAAAAAATCAGTGCTTTTCCAAGCATGCATATTTTTGATAGACAGTTCAATTGCCAGGCATTAAGAAAAAAATTGACTGCATGCAATAGATGAAAACTGTTATTGTTTCTGGGTCCCCCTGTATCCTTTTTCTCTTTAGGCAAAATTCCTCCACTTTGCTTTAAAATAGAGTTTCACTGCTTTCAAAAGAGCACACATGTACTTTTTTCCCTTTTAGATTGTCTGCATGATAACTTGTGACAAAAAATTTTACCTCATTTCCTCCTGACTCTATTTTTTTTTTTTTAAA